GCAAATTGATATAAAAATAATATCACCTTATCTTTAGAAATATAGTCAATTCTCATTAAGATCAACCTTGTTAATATCAACCTTCAAATATATCAACATAATTGTCTAACCCCAATGGGTTAATATTAATGAGGATTGACTGTATACAGAAGTGATGACATGTAAAATATTTATTGTCTGCCATCATCATAGTATATTATATCTTAAAATGAACTGTGATATACGATCCAATATAGTTTGTTAGAGTTTGATAGATCGATCATAGATCAACTATGACAACTTACATGTAAATTTACCTGTAAAACGGGTGTAAGGGATAAGACTGTAAGATCAAGAGAAAGCACACCTTAAATGCTATATATAATATATATAATATATATAGAATTTAGGCCTTTCTACTGCAAAGACCTTACCTTTATTAATGCATATCCGAATGTTATTTAAGCTAATGCTAAAGTAAAAATAGTGTAAAAATAGTAATCCTAGCTGATAAGTAATCATTATCCTTAAAAAATCGGTTAAGGACTCAGCCGATTTCATTTCAAAAATGGTTGGTCGATTTTATAACGATAAGAATATTAAAAATTTACTTTAATGATAATTGATAAAATTGTTTGTCAGTTTAAGGATAATTATTATATTTTGAATGAAATAAGTATTTTTTTATTATACCTCACAATGCAAATATGGCGTAATCGCATCTAGACCTAACCAGATCCATAAATATCGAACCGAATATTTTGTATTAAAAGATCATGAATAAAATAGAATAAAAACTTTGTAATTCGTTCCATGATAAGTTTCTTAATGAAAATCTAGTATAACGATAACAAATAAATTATTCAAAGATAAAAAAAATAAGCATACATGGAAATTCAATATAAATAGAAAAAATAGAATACCTATAAGCATTTCATCCTAACGCTATAGACAAAAGCGCATTCATTTAAAATGATTCAAATGCCTAAAAATACCAAAGATCACATAAAATACAACGATAATAGTTTAACTTGAAATGAATTGAAATCTGACTATATTTGCGATACGTATATTTTGATATTTAGTATATTTAGATTCGATCCGATAACGATAATCAGATATTAAATTGATAGGTTTTTTTTTTATTGATAATGATTAGCAAATTGATTAGTCTAACCAAACTATCTTTCATTTAAACCAAATATATAACTCATGTCCGTGAAAATAAAGTAGCATAATGTTATAATAATAATTATATAAGCCAATGAATAAAAATTAAAAAAAAAAGATTACAAACGAAAATTGCTACCAGGGAAGGATAAGTGAATTTGAAATAAGTCAAAGTTTCTTTATCAAAGTTATCTAGAATCTTAATTAATAAGCATTAAAGTTAAAAATTTACTAGATTCCAATAGATAATGTTCGTATCATGCAAGGCTAATTGTTAATAGATCAAGTTAAAAAGTATATGCAGGCAGGCGGCTTACACAAAGTCTTTGGATTGCATATAGAATGAACATTTCTTTCCTTAATTTATTAATTTATTTATTTTCGTTTTGTTATATAGTGTATAGTTTTTTTTTTAAAAAAAAAGAAAGTTCGATGTAAAGTGAATAATCATAATATACAGGATGTTTTATCAATATTTTAAAAATCTAACATAAATAAATACATAAATAAATACAGAGGTGAAAGTTCTATATAAAAAATATATATATATAATAAGTAATTTGATAGAATTGTTATTGTATATACAATTTAAAACAAATTCTAATTTTACTGCGCTATTTAGAATAATGGATATATGTAATATTGGTAATACAATATCACTAACCACGCGTAAAAAAAAAAAAAAATGATGAATAAAAAAAATTTAATTCATCTTTTTTCTTAAATTTCAAATGTTCAAATTTTATATACCATATTATGGACTTCAAATTCCATTACCACTACCAACATTAGCCAAACAACAATGCTCAACCACATCCCCATGTTCAAAACTATTCTCAACACCAACCTTAATTTTATATATTTGATGTACACCACCCCATCCAACATCCTTAGTTTTATTACACTCCCAAGTACAACCTTGAACATTGCTTATCATATATCTTCCAATATCTTCACCAAACTTTTCTAAAATAGCGTAACCCAATAAGGAAAAGCCATCAAATTCTTTTTGTAATTGTTGTTTCAAAGTTGTAGGAACATATGGAGATATATTAAAATCCGTTATTCGATCATTATCATGAAAATTTATTTCAAAATAAATTTGAAAATTACGTTTAAAGAAAAATTCTTTTTTGAATTGAGAAGATATAGATAAGAGAGTAGAAGTTAGAGTTTGAATAAAAGAATCAATTTCGGAAGCTATCATTTTGTGACGTAAGGATAACTGATTGGGAGATAAAGTTGTTGATGAGAATGAAGAAGGTGGATATATAGGAATTTTAAAATATTCCAATTCATCCTCTAATTCAGCTGATGTTAAAGGAATTAATCCTATTGCTAAAAAAGGAAATTGTTGTTTTAATTAATCAAACTTCAAATTTTAACGAGATATTCAACGAGATAACTAATGTTTTT